ACGAATCTGCTGTTTGAATATTTTACCCGAAAAGTTTTGCGGTTACACTTGGCAAAAAGCCTTTGCAGTGAAATCGCTGAACACTGGTACTTCAGTCCAAATTTCGAATCCCGGCAAACGGGTTGGCTCCATCAACGTTTTCATAATTTTGAGTATGAGTAACGTGTATGCAGTATATTGTGAATGCATACGTAAATGAAGCGGGCGCAGCCCGCACAAACCGCTAAACACTGGTAGTTCGGTTCAGCTTTCGAATAAAGGTGATCGGGCTGGCTGCATGGGTATTTTCGTGATTTTAGGTATGTTTATCATGTATGCAGTATTTTCTGGACTTATACGCGAATAAAGCGGGCGCAGTCCGCGCTGAATCCTGGTAGTTAGGTTCACCCTTCGAAGTCCAGCGAGCGGGCTGGCTGCATGTGTACTTTCGTGATTTTACGCATGTGTATCGCGTTCGAAGTATCTTCTGGACGCATATGTGAATAAAGCGGGCGCAGCCCTCTCAAAACCGCTGAACACTGGTAGTTCGGTCCAACTTTCGAATAGCCGTTAAAGAGCTGTCTGTATGGGTATTTTCGTGATTTCACGCACGTGTATCGTGTATGCAGTATCTTTTGGATGCATACGAGAATAGAGCGGGCGAAGCCCGCGCAAATCTGCTGATCACTGGTAGTTCGATCCAACTTTCGAATAAAGGCCAACGGGCTGGCTCTATGAGTGTTTTCTGAGTTTCCGCATGTGTGTCGTATATGCAGTATATTCTGGATGCATAATTTAATAAAGCGGACGCAGCCCGCCCAAAACCGCTACACACTGGTAGTTCGTTCCAACTTTCGACAAGCGGGCTGGGTGCAAGTTGTTTTCGTGATTTTACGCATGTGTAACGTGTATGCAGTATCTTCTCGATACATACGTGAATTAAGGGGGCGCAGCCCGGGTAAAACCGGTGAACACTGGTATTTCGGTCCAACTTTCGTAAACCGGGGAAATTTAACACGGGAACTCTTTTACACACGAGCAATATATAGCGGGCTTCAGCCCGCTCAGCTGGCGGGCTTGCCCGCTAGTAAACAAATAATATTTTTTTTTTGGGGGGGGATATTCTTTAGATCATAATTGCTCTTTATTTCATAAATTACGGTTTCATATTTTTTAATTTTATAATTTCTGCATGCCATCTTACCAGATTTAAATTGATGATCTATTATCCGGAAAAATCGATAATCCAGAATCGCCGAAATCCCGACGAGTCCGGATTAAAGACTTTTGACTGTACTTGGATTTTCATACTTTTTTGCTCAAATTAGCTAATCTATTAATTAATTTACTCGCGCAAAAAAAATACTTTCTTATCCTTTTACTCGCGCAAAAAATATTTTCTTAAGTTTAAAGAAATTTTAATTTTTAAGGATATTCGTTTTATCCTTGATCCTTGAGGATTTCTCTTGATAAACTTGACTTTCAAATTTCGCGAGCTTCGGCGACAGATATTTGCGCATACGCAGCTGTTTTTCTCTACGTTGGGATGGATCCATTCCTGGCGCAGAGAAGTTTTTTTTATCTTAACAATACATATTTTTTTATTCTAACCTCCATGTACAGTACACATGGGATTTGGCGACATTATGATGAGCAGTAACAAGTTACCTCTTTCTGTCTCTAGTCTCTAAGAAGGTGTTGGATAGTAAACCGATCATTTTGGTGTTGGTGGCAGTTTTCAAAATTGTACAAAGGCCGTAGCGAAAACTAGGATTTTACCGAAAAATCTTTTAAACCTTTTTTTTTTTTTTTTCCATTAAAATAAATGCCTTATTTTTCATTTTACAGTAAGATAAAAAAATAGTAATCAGTCATCTAGGCTAATGTTTAATATTCGCCAAAATAGCATTGTTTATTGTAATTCAATTTTTAAGTAATTAACTTCATTTTAATGTTATTTATGTCATTTAATGTTCTTTGCTCTAAATTTATTTATTATTAGTTAATAATACTTTCAAAGTTCAGGCAAATTTCTCTGGCATAATTCTGAAACTAAATCTAGCAGTGTGATGACATACTATCACAAAATTTAATGAACATATTTTTGTTTATGTAAGCTGCTAAATAAATATAAAATACCTGAATTTATTTTAAAATATCATTAAATAGATTTCTTTCTTTCGTTTAGCTGCAATAAAACTTATTTTTTAATCCAAATTGGGCAGATTCTAATCTCTATCTTCAGTGGAGAAAACAACTCCTATTATAGCTAAAATAGTAATGCTTTCAGGATTATATATATAATATGTCATATGCAATTGGCAAATTTTTGTCTTTTCAAGTGGTACCATAATTAATTTATCTCTCAGTGCAGCCAACGCGCACTATGCGGATAGACTGAAATTTTCTCAAAACACACCTGGAAATGTCAAAGAATTTCATTCTCCTCTTTAAGTGGCAACCCTGTTTTTATGTGAGTTATGTAGAGCAACAAAACTGTGTAACTGAGTAGGAGTTAAGGACTGTTATAATTTCAGAGATGACTCCATACATATAAATAAAAATACTGTAAAACAGGTGTTTGAAAAATGTAAAAAAAATTGTTGTGTCTTTTATCCTTACTTTTTTAATACAAATTTAGGTTGAGTTTAACCTCTTTTGAAAAAGAAAACATGTACTGCAACACTGGTAAATGACTGCAATAGAAAAAAAAGTATGATACATAACACAGGACTGAGTCAGTGTCCTGTTTGATACAATAGTGCAGAGTTTCTTAAACTTTCTTCAATCACGACCCCAGGTATTAAATATGAAATAAAGATATAAAAATAAATATCCTCCTGTAAATAATTTACTTCTTTGTTAAACAATATACATATAAAAAATAGTTTTTAAGATTTTTTTTAAGCAAACAAAAATTCAAGAAAATTCTAACAAGACTGATATGCTTGTTTTCTGTTGCATAACAAATTAAATGTTGGTTTGATATTTGACACTGCTAGACATGAAGTATCTTTTTAACGTTGAATGACATTTCTTTTTAATTAGCGTTAAAGCAGAAAAAGTAGTCCCCCCCCCTAGAAATAATGAGAACTCTAGTTCTAACCCTGATTCAGAATTCATCAAGGATTTAAAAACTCAAGTTTTAAGTTTGAATCGCTGGATAATTTTACAAATTTCTTTATGACATGTAATTAATCTCATTAATATCAATTAATGTAATATCTTTAAAATCTAATCTCATGAGTGTAAATAATGCAATTTAAAAGTCTTATGAATACAGTTTCTTTAAATATATAAGGTATTTCTCCTGCCTTTGTGGTATGGTGGTCTGCATGCTGGGCGCATATTCCACAGGTCCGTGGTTTGATTCCCAGCAAATTCATTGCTCATTTTTCATCACTCCTGCTTTAAAAATAACCTAATGTCTACAGTGGTGCCCAAACTACAAAAGGTGGTGGATGATGATTCTCCACACCCAGGATTTGGTGATTGGGTCCCCTAAAAACCCCAGCTGCCCTTTAAAAAGGGGGAGTATATAAGGTATTTCTCCCACCTTCTTAGCATGCCTTTGTGGTGTGATGGTCTGCACGCTGGGCTCGTCTTCCAGATGTCCATGGTTCGATTCTAGGCAAAGGCATTGCTCATTTTTCATCACTCCTGCTTTAAAAATAGCCTAATGTCTCTACAAATTCAAGTATCAAATTTAAATTTCGCTACCCCCAAAATTTTGGTTTGTGACCCCCTAGTTTAAGAAACTCTGCAACAGTGCATGAGAAAAAGTGCCCAAGTATATTTGAGGTTAAAAGCCAAATACAGTACAAAGTCCGTAATCCGTAATGATCTATAATCTGGACCTCAAAGCCACAAACTTACACATGCGCATTTGATGCCCGCGTCCGTTACGCATGCGCGTAAAGCCAGTAAAGCGTATACCCATGCGTGCCTCTGATACTGAAGAAAATTACATTGAAAGAAATGTTTAATAAAGTAAACAAATAAATATTACCCCTTTTTTTTTTTTTTTTTTGTAAATTTTGAGACCCTTTAGATCATAATTGCTCTTTATTTCATAAATTATGGTTTCATATTTTAATTGTATAATTTCTGTATGCCATCTTACCAGATTTAAATTGATGATCTATAATCCAGATTCGCCGAAGTCCTGACAAGTCTGGATTACAGACTTTGTACTGTATGTTGTTGAGCATGTGTAATTTGACATGGCCCCCATCATCTCAATGAAGTTTTAGTCACATGTGCCATGTGTGGCATATATGTGTTAATTCCTTGCTTTTCTTTTTTTAATTTGTTCTTATTTTTCTCAATTTTTCATGTATGATCTAGAATCTGCAAACTATAAAATCTGCAGAAATTATGGTCTGAGTTGTGCAGATTTTTAGTCTTCTACTTTATATTTGGCAAATTTCTGAAATCATATCTTTTGAATAATGATTTAACAGTATTTCAGACAAATTTTATTGTTCACGCTTTACTGTTTTGCAGTTTATTAATAGGTAAATTCTAATACATTTTTAGAGCCATAAAAAACTTCTGTAAGTTAGAACTGCTGTTGCATATAAATGATAAGATAAGGTGATGATTAAAAAAAGAAGAAAGAAAAGAAATGGTAATAGATATATAAACCGTGCAGTTATATAATATCAGAGTTAAATCCTTGAATTTACTAAATCTTAATAATTGTTAGAAAATGTCTATGTCTGCTATTTCTCTAAAAGAAAAGTAAGACTTTTTACATAATGTTTCATAGAGAAGAGATATATTCATTATATAAAGTAAAAAGATAAATATGTATTAGCTGGCTACGTGTTTGCAAAACAATTCAATAATTGATTCATTCAAATATTTTAGTGGCATTATGATCCATAGTCATATAACATAGTCCAAATATAGAACTAGTGTAATTTCGCCATGTTCTGTTGAAACAAATATTAATTTTTTGTAGATATCAATAATAAAAATTTTATTAATAATTTTAAATTGTTTTTATTTTGAATTAGCTATTGAGGGATAAAGAAAACTGGAAAATTCTTGCTTCATATTATCTGAAAACAGTAGTAATATGGATGATTCTAGAAAATAATGATAAAGAATATTGGAAAGATGACAGAATGGGCGAGAGATTTCTGGAGGTAAGTTTGAGTAGGAAATACTAGTTCTACAATAAAGAGTCCATATTTTATTTTAACTTTACCAATACAATTATTACAGAATGTAAAATGCACTATTAAAACTTACTCTTCATTCTTATATTCACACTGGAATTTGTTTGCTTAAGAATATTATTTTTAAACCATTTAACAGTTTTTTTTAACTATTAAAGTTTTTAAAAATAATTTTAGCATAAATGTTATTGGTGGTTAATTGACATTAAAAATAACATTAATATATAAACAAACAACAGTATAGAGATGATACACTGCTTGGATCCAGGGTAATAAAATGTACAGTTCCTCCTTGAAAGCTTCCAGTTTTTTGAAACTTTTAACATTACTTTAGATTATGAATTGGTTTACTTACATATTTTGTTTTATTGCTTATTTTTATTCGTTTTTTAAAACAGCTAATTTTCCATGTGACAGTGACCAAATAATAGATGTGATAACAATAAAGATATCTAAAATATGGTAAAATATATAATATTGGCTTTAAAGCCATAATAATTAACAGGAGCTTTGGGTCAATTCAAAACTTAATACCATTCTACAGAATGCAAATGTTTCTCATATTTGTTTTGAATTTAATAACTTCAACTGATCTGTATTGCAGACAGAAAGTATTAAGTCTTTATTGCAAATATGAGCCATAATTGTCTTAAGTTTAGTGCTTGAACTGATCTTTATTGCAAATGAACCTGTAACTAATTAAAAATATGAATTCATTTTCTTAAAATGCTGGATGCATTTCATGACTGCATAACATATTGGTCATGGACACTTAGCCAATGGGACATTTAACCGACAGCAGTTAGCCAACACAAACACTTAACCGACAGGTCATTTACCCGACTAGGACACGTAGCCGACACGGACAGTTATCTGACAGGACATTTGGCCAACACAGAGGATTAGCCGTCAGGACATTTAGCTACGGGACACTTAACTGTCAAGGCAATTAGTCAACAGGACACTAAGCTGACAATGACGTTTAGCTGACACATACCCAATAATTATTCACATTTACTATCAATTACAAAATTTCTCAACTTAGTTCAATATTTAAATCATTTTTTCACCTATAAGTGAAATTCATGTTTTGATTCTTAAAGATCTCATATGTGCTTTTAAATATTATGTGGTGTATATTGGCCAAATTGGAAAAGCACTGAAATTTCTCGTCAGGGAATATGAATTAAATATCAAAAGAAAAAAAAAGATTTTTTTTTTTACCTAAGTACAGCAGTCACTTAATTACATTTTAATATGGGATTTTCAAAAATTACCCGTAAAGCTTCTTCATTAATCAACTGGGTTCTTTTGAACACTTTCATTAATGATTTTTCTTGTTTACTTAATAATATTAATTTTCCAATCTGGCTCTTCTTAATGCTTTCAGATTTGTAAGAAATTAAAAGCATGATTCTGTAACATTTTATTGACCACGCCTCTCGCTTAAAATACTTAACTTAGGTTAATGTTTATAACACTAAACTGTTGCATAATGTTTAATATAGAATTACAATATTCTTTAAGGTTTTGTTTTATTCAGAACTGAATACATTTCTGCCAAAACTACATTTTTCACTCTTCATATATCGAAAACACTGCTGATATGCAATTCCACTCTTATTTTCTAACCGCGCCTACTAAATGATTTGGATCATGTTAAGGTTGCGTGGAAGCCTTTTGAATATGATTTACCAGAATTGGGTGGTGTATGTTTTAGTACGCTGTAAAAATATGCATAGAATTTCTCTTTTCCTAACTAATTTGTATATAATATTATGTACTCTGTTTTGAAAGTCGCAATGTATAATTTTCAATATAATATGTTATATTAATGTTTTTCTATATAATGTAACTTTTCTCAATATCTTTTAAAAATTTATAAATTTTCGTTTCATTTTTTATAATTTTTTTTCTTTCTCGGTTTTGGTTTAGCTGCATCGTAATGGAAAAATTATTGGTGCCCGTTTTCCTGAGTGCCTAAGGGCATTTTGATGGTGACCCCTTTCCTTGATTCCCTAAGCACGTGCATATATTGGTTAATGGTTAACCCTGCCTCATGTGCATTTATGTATATTCAGACCAGATGTAACCATTCATTCATTCATTATTCCTATCCCCTGAGATAGTGCATTTAAGACGGAAGTGGAAAGAGGGAAGTGACTACAGACTAAGAAAACTACAAACAAAAACCAAAGAGTAACAATTTACCATGCCTAAGACATTTTATAAAGTATTTGTTTATAATAACAATAAAAGCTGGCTCCAGTTTAACATTCAAATGAAATAGCTAATCACATATGTTATTTTAACTCCACCAAATAGTGATGTCATTTCGTTTCCAATACTTCCGTAGTTCGTTTCTCAGTCTATGGTCCTTTTAGATTCCCAAAAAAGATTTTCTAAAGTAAATTTCAAACTAACATTGTATACCACTGTATAGCTGAAAATCTGAGATTCCGGAAACTACACATGGCAGTTTTAGACTTAGATCCTTTAATATAGTGAACTTACTTGAGAAAAACCCCGAAGACACGTGATGTATAAAATTCCGGGTAGGAAAATAAGGAGGGGCCACAAACTAGGGAGGGCAGAGCAAAGCAAGACGTTGTGAAAAGTCACCTTAAAGTGGTGCCAGCTATCGATTGTAGATTTAACTAGATCAGTCATCTTACATAAAGAGATGTGAAATTAAGCGTATGCCGTCTAGAAGTTCAAATGAGCACAGTGCAAGGTTGAGTATTTCCGCTGCAGTCTTGTTTTTCTTGAATTGCTCAACAGATGTAATTAATCTGTTGACAACGCCTTTAATTTTGTCAAAGTCCATTTCTGAGAGTTCAGAAGAAACATTCGGTACATCAATCACAGGAGCATCAACCTTTCAACATCAAGTTTCCATTCAGTTTGGATAAGTAGTCTTTGATATAATCAATATGAAGGTCGCGATGTAAATCTTCATTTCTAATATAGTATGGGGCGTTCGTGATGGTAAAAATTGAGGTGATACTTTGATACAAAAGTAGTTATACAGGGGTTCTACTGCTTTTGCAGTACTTCCCTGTCAGCCTGAAAGAAGTCCACAATGGGCATGATGATGAAAGTACATGAGTAAATCCCATGGAGGGAGCAGGGAGGGGAGTAAAAATTGAGGATATCCGTATCCTTATCCTAGTGCTGGTCTTCAGTCCTAAAACAGACTTTTACCAGTACCAGTTTCGTATCCTAATAAAGAATCCTTAATGAAAAAATACTCTAGAAGCTAATTGCTTCTATTTGGAGAGAGAATAGCACCTCCTAAGTGCTAGGGGGGAAGAATATTGAAGGATAAGTTTCTCTCCAGGGAACTCAACATCAATTTCATAAATAGTGGTGGTCATGATGAAAAAAAAATTGGTGTGAAAAGTACAACAATAGTGTCACAAATAAAAACATGGAGTAAACCAAATTTAGAGCTTCAAACAGAGCAACCTTCACTCATGAAGATCATTACTTTTTCTTCCTATACAAGATTTTAAGAAAAATAATAACAGTTACTTTAACTACAGAATTCCTATTCTAGCATTAGGAACAAAAATGGGATTCTAAGCACTGTGACACGTATTCTTTCGCACGCATTCTTTCATATGAGCTGCAAGTTTTTTCACAAAAAAGCAGATTAAAATCAGGGGTGCAGCTAATACATGTGAATGATTAGAACTAAGTAAATGGAACAATGTTTGAAAAAAATGAGGCCTACTTTAATGTTTGGGAGACTAATACAGTATTTTGTCATTCTCATGTTTTTTGGGGGGCTAGATAAAAAAAAAATTATTAATTGTAACACAAATTTTAAATTATTGTTTCGTAATAGTAACAAAAGAGGGTACTAAATTGGTGCCAATCTAATGCAATAGCCAATCACATTCCTTATTTATATGATCTTGAGAAACCGCCCAACAGAGATTTCATTTCTTTTCCAATACTCTTGGTGGAAGGATATCCCACTACTCGACGCTCTCCTGTGATTCGGACAACCAGAACTGTATTGTTAAAATCACAGATGTTATCAATTCTACAAAAGGGAAACCTAAAATTAATATTAACTGATTTTTCTGTATAAAAGATAAAAATCATGGTGATTTGTACTATTGGACTTGTTACCGAAAGAACTGGAAAGAATCAAGATGCAGTGGAAGAGCGATAATGGTTTTGTTAAATGGTGAACATGTTGTAAGAAAATTTGATCCGTGTACACATAATCATACAGCTGTGGCAAGTGCAGCCTTCGTTGCTAAGGCTCAAAATGAAATGAAAGAAATTTTGAAGCGATGTAATGACACACCTGCTCAGGTTATCAGTAATGTTAAGTTATCAATAACTCAAGACATTACAACCATGTTTGCCTAGTGATGAAGTACTCAGAAAACAAATTAATAGAGCAAAGCATAAAGTACTCCAAGTGAGCCTGACAGATTAGAAAATTTCACCCCTTGAACTTGACTTTGACTCCACTGACTTTGAGTGGACAGCCTTTTTGTAAAGATATTGCAGACAGTGATGAATGAATATTACTACAGTCAAAAGTCGTTAATCCAGACTCATTGGGACTTCGGCGATTTTGGATTATCGATTTTTCCGGATTATAGATTATCAGTTTAAATCTGGTAAGATTAGTTTAAGTCTGGCATTAGTTTAAATCTAGCGTTCCATCAGCGTTTGACATCAGTTTAAATCTGGCAGAAATTATAAAATTAAAAATATGAAACAGTAATTTATGAAATAAAGAACAATTATGATCTAAAGGGTATCAAAATTTACAAAAAAAAAAAAAAAAAAAAAAAAAAAAAAAGAGCTTAATATTTATTTGTTTACTTTATTAAACATTTCTTTCAATGTAAGTTGTCTAAGTTGCTTCGTTTTATGTAATACTTATACTTCGTTTTATAATACTTTCTCTTTAATTATGTAAAGAGACATAATTTCTTGTT